AACAGGTGTTATGTTTGATAGAAATCAAAATAAATTAAAAAAAAACAGCAGCAGATTTCCTTGATGTCGTTCGTACCTGGAAGATGGCGTACATGATGCAGGTGAGAGGCCGGTTGTGCGAGTACTCGGAGACGGTGAAGATGTTCAGGCCCCACTTGTTGAGGTCCTCCAACTCCTTGGACAGCAGCTCCTCCTTGTCGGTCTTGACGCCGAAGCGCGAGACGCTGCTGCTGGAGAGCGAGGGCCCGTGGGAGATCTTCTTGACCCCGCTGATCTGTGTCATCAGCTGCTGCTTCTTCTTCTCTCGCGTCTTGGACATCGGCGACGGGATCTCCACATCGTTCTGCTTGTCTGAGGGGGGGGGGGAAAAAAGGAGATATTTGGATTTTGTTTTGATGTTGTGAGGAGAAGTGGTTGAAATTCCTAAAATTATTCAGGTTCTAATCCCGGTCTCAACCAAAACAGAGTACGTGGTAGGCTGCCTGAGAAGGTGCACACCTGCAGCTGCTTAAATGATGTGAGATTTACTTAAAAACGTACTCATTCATCATTTCTCCCTCCATTCACACCCCTGTCCTCCACCTGCAGTCTCTCTGAGCCCTCCCCTCCTGCAGCACTTTCTTTCTCAGCTGCATCTCAGCGGGAGTCATCTTCTGTTCCTTTCAGTCTTGTAGGTCAGTCCATTGACAGACTGAGAGACTGAGGCTCCAACACAGTTAAGGCTGCTCTATAAAGTCGCTCATTCAATAAGCTGCTGCATCTTTCACCGCTTTATCAAATCAACCGGTATAGATCTGAATTTATGTGTTCAGTAGGTCTGTTCAAACACAGTCGGTCTGGCTACAAAATATGGTGAGTACAAAGTGGAACGCAAGGAAAACAACTTTAATTTCTCTTCTCACTATAAAAAAACCCCAAACTGAAAACTAGGCCGAGTTTTCTTGAAATAACCAAAAAATCAAATAAAGAAGAAGTGAATGAAACCCAGCAGGGACCAGCTATCGGCATGTATGTGAGCCCCGCACTCAGCTCATCGCCGGCCTATCAGGCCTTCCCCTGTGGAGGGTTATTCAATTACCAGCTTTAATTCAAATAATCACTTTCACTTGCATGCACTCCCCTCTCTCTCTCCCTCTCTTCTTGCACTGTTTCCTCTGTTTTTTCTCGACGTCTCGTCCTCCAGTGGTAAACGAGAAAGGGCAATTAAGCGCTCTCAGACATGTGCTGCGTGGGAAACGGCAATATATCGCCCTCTAATTTATATCAACCATCATTATCACCACTGCTGTAATCAGACAAGTTCATTCCTATCATCCTGCTAAGGTAGAGTCTACTCTGGACTACACAAATCTCTCTGTTTCAGTTTGCTCTGCTGAATCAGAATCAGATTTATTGGCCAGGTATGCTGACTCACACAAGGAATTTAACTTGGTGAACTGTGCTCTCTATGTACAGGTACAACATTAAATATCAACAATAAACATAATAAGAAAAGACTAATATTTACATGACTAAATATGAAACAGTGCAGTGGTGAATAGTGCAAAGATGCTGGTGTGGATAGCCCTTGGTAGTCCCCTCTTGTGCGCAGAAGAATTAGAAATCTCTCTCCCGCCTCCCTGCTCTCTCCTCTCTCACCTCCCACGTTTATTTAGATTTTCATTCTCATCCTTTTCATCCTTCCTCAACATGCTCTCTTGTCAGAGACGCAGATGCATTAGGGAAGGTGTGGATGCAGATACTCCTCTGTAGTATATTCCCTAAGGTAAGTGTTTCTGTGCTGCTGGCCGATCAAAGCGAATTATGACAGAATTATGCAGTCAGGACAGCTGTGGCGGGGGACGGGGGGGGGGGGACACGTGGACGGGCAGCATGTTGCAGTTTAAATAAATCCAAACTGGTAGGTCAGAAAATCTGGTCTGAAATGCCTTTGATGCTTCACTTTGGATGTCTGTATACTAGCTTGTTTACAATAAAATAAGGTAAAATAAAGCTGTGGTTTTAAAACTAATCTTTTTTTAAATTGGCATACGACAGGAAAAATGTCATGTCATATGAGCGGTCAACAGTCTACTGGTCAACTGAGCCAAACAAGATTTGAAGCTTCAGCTATTTTTTTCCAGTTCTTCTTCATTGATTTTCTGTGTTTTTCCATTCTACAGTCAGCAGGGTCATTCTCATATCTTTATCAAACCTCCGCCGGGCTCCTCAGGTCAGAGACAGAGGGGCAAGGAGACGTAGAGAGAGACAACAACAACAAGGTGTCCCTGCTGACGAAGATGCATTAAGGTGGTGATGAGTCACCCGATCTGCCCGGCTCAGCAAAAGGGGGGTTCCTCCGTACCTCGGCTTTCTCCTCCACTGCAGTCAAACTCCCTCCCTCGCCCTTTTAGCTTCTTCTCTGTCTCTCCTCACCCCAGCCTCCTGCTCATTAAGATCAGGCGGTGAGGATCCACTGACAACCCTACACTGGCTCAGGATGACCAATCGATCGCAAGATTCTATAAATACTCTAAACAGCATCAATGGCCGTTCTGTCTGTCAGCCTTTATCATTTTTATTTCTCCATTTATATCACATTTTAACTCATTCACACGTCTGTCCTTTCCTAGAAATATCAAACTTATCAAATCACACATTTTAAAACCTGACCGTGACTGTATTGTGTTTTTGTATCAGAAACTAAAAAGATCTGTGAAAATGTTTGAGAAGACAATAGAATTGCATATATATTTAGTTAATGAAATAAAATAATAATAAATACAAGTAATAATAAAAGTAATAAAAGTCTCCTTTTAAAGTGACCAGCCACCCTATATGCACTTTCTGTCATAAAACTTTTTTAAAGATGATTGTTACTTGCATTGGACGGCCATTTTTAAGCGCTATGACCCTCCAAAAACAAAAGCTAAATGGCGCAGTGCTTTATGGAACGCCCCCACAGAAGAACCAGCCAGAGCAACTTGCACGGCTAAACATCTTCTAACACACTGAACCCTCCAAGAAAACATTGCAGCAAGACAGAAAAGTGGGGTTTATGTGTTGACCAATGCATATTTGTTTATTTGTTTTGTGTACAGCCTGTGGTGCTTTTATTTTGAAAAAAATCCAAAGTGGTGAATTATGTGCTGTGATTTTCTTTTTGAGTACATGTTCACAAGACTTTCATTTACCTAGGAAGGTGTTGGAGATGAATTCTGAAACCTGATTTCCAGACCGACTCATCTCCGATAGGTGCGTCAACTCCCGATTCAACATTCTCTTGAACTGCAAGAGAGAAAGAGGAAGAGGAGGAGGAGGAGGAGGAGGAGGAGGGGGGAAGAGGAAAAATGTCGTCAGTTACCACAGAAGGAAAACCTGGAAGATATTATGGTACAGGAAATGTAAAATACAACATTACACAGCTTTATGGCACTAGTTAAATATCAATGAACAACAGCATGACACCATTTTTTAATTGCAATTAATTAGAATGTGGATTGTTATTTTGAGAGTTGGGCCATCACATTTTAAAGCCCTTAATACATTCCCATGCAACCAATTTACAGTTTTATTATTTTTTTATAATTATTTATTATATTTCTTTATATTTATACTGAACCACATTTTTGGGGCCTATTTTGCTGCTTTCCTTGCGTCACTGAAAAATAATTCCAATGAAGTCGGGAGGAAATCAACGCACTGTATCCGACTCGGTCTGAACATTTTTTATTTTCATTTACTGTGCAGAGCCAATGATAGTTTAAAAACAGTAGACGGGTGCATTTGACAGTTCACGGAAACCCAGGTACTGCAGCAGCAGCTGTTTATGACAAACTGATGCATGCGTATGCACACACACACACACACACACACACACACACACACACACACACACACACACACACATATTCAAACAGACACACAGCTCTGCAGAGGGCTCAAGATGGAGCCTCAGCCACACACAAAAAACACCGCCAAACACCATCTCTCACCATGCAGGAAATATATTTTCGGTGCAATTAGGGGAGCCACACATTGCCAAAAAAAACAACAACAGCAGATTTGATTATAAAGCTGAATTTTTTAAGAATTGGCCTTTAGACAGCGCAGACAAGTACAATGAAAAGATGAGATATCCCGACAAGCTACGTAGATAAGCGCCACACACCTTAATGTAACCCCAAGACACCGACAGCAGGTAATTGGCTTCAGGCATTTTGGACCCCTTTTTCTCGTTCCTACACAAAGCCAGAACTGTAATCCAGTGGGAATGAAAAAACAAAAACGAGGAAGATGGACAAAATTCCTCTAGTGCCGAAAGAAGAAGGGGAAAAAAATCCTCATGTGTTTTTCCTTTTCAGCGGCTAAGAGAGCAGCTCGATAACGACTCACTCTCCCTATCAGCTGCAGAGAAGGGCCAGCTCTTGTCGCCATGCTCGGGAATGGATAAATGTTTCGAGGGATAAAGAGAAAAGGAGGTGTAGCCGGGCTTGGGCGAGGAGATCCAGCAGCAGCAGCAGCAGCAGCTGGAGCCTTGAGCTGGGACTCTGATGAATAAGGAGAAGTAACGAGAGGAAGGGAGGAGGGGAGAAAACAGCTCCGGAGACAAGGAGGAGGGAGTGATGCTCATCTGACTGGAGGGGGGGTTCCTCCACTGGATTTGTCTTGCTTGGCTGCTCTCGCTGCTCGCACGCCCCCTCCTACCTCTCTCTCTCTCTCTCTCTCTTTCCCTCTTTCTCTCTCTTTTATTCACTCCCTCCCTATTCTGTCTCTTTTTCCTGCCAGCCCCAGCAACACCCTCAATTCAGAATACATGATTTGACAAAAAAGAGAGAAAGGGGGGGAACCCTCATTCTCAGGTCTGGAGAAAAGTGATTTCAATATCCAGACTTGCATTTGAGAGGTTGCTTTCCCTCTCCTTTTATGCTTTTTTTTTTAAATTTCCAGTGTTGCAGCTAGTGCTATAAATGTCATCCTCTTTAATTCCAACCCCTGTAATTCCCTCTTAAGCTTTTTTTTAAAGTCAGCCATTGTGGAGGAATGTCATCGAGCCATTCAGCTCTGCCTCCCCCTCGTTGCAGTAAAACAATGAGACGGGGGACGGGCACGTTTGAGGAATGTGAATGCACAGCGACTGTATTTTTTATCACCATTAATCTCTCTAATCATCAGCTCTTCTTCCTCTCTCTCCTTTTGATTCTTCTGCGGCCATTGTTGAGAACTCATAAAGACTGTTCATTATCCGCATCCCAAACCCACTAATATAAGATGCTGTCAGGGTGTCTGCCGTGCAAGGTTATTTTTAACAACCAGGAGACAACAGAACAGAGGGACGGCGGTCAGAGAAAAAACAACAAAAGAAAGAAAGAAGAGAGATGGGAGATAATTGCATCCTTTCCCCAATATAGGTGACAGCAGCCAACAGATTTCTCTCCTTCGCTGCTATTACCAGAACATCCCAAAACCCATGGCAACAGCATCAGGCAGCAAGGAGGAGAGAAAAAATTGGAGAGCTTCCCCCCTTTCCCTTCCCAGGCAGACATGTGGTGTAGCTGCTGAGCTGTCACGAGGACACACCACACACATCGCCTCTGCTTGCATCCAACGATGCAGAGACTGAAAAATAAATAAATAAAAACACACTCCCTCCCCCCTCCGTCTTTTCCTCGCTCTCAACTGCTTACATGTCAATTTCTCTCCGGCTACCACTTGCAAACCCAGCCATCATCTCTGTGTCGTCTGCCTCACTGCAGGATCAATGGCTGTCCTTGCAGCAGGTGTTGACGGAGTTACATCAGTATCAGTGGCCAAAGCGTGTATATATGTGTGTGTGTGTGTGTGTGTGTGTGTATATATACACACACACACACACACACACACACACACACACAAACACACACACACACACACACATATATATATATAGTTCTTCTTGGGGAAAACCTCTCTATCTGAATCAGTCATCATGAGTGTTTTTGTATGAAGTGGGAGATCAAAAGCTGAACCCCGAGAGGATTCCGGATAATCCTCATCCCACGGAGGGAAAGAACCAGAAGCAGGAGGTAGCCGCAAGAAAAGAAGAGGGAAAAATAAATCTATAAGAGCGAGAGAAGAGAAGAGAGACAGAGAACAGAGAGACAGAGAGAGAGAAAGAGAAGAGAGAGAGAGACAGAGAGAGAGACAAGAGAGAGAGAGAGAGAGAGAAGAGAGAGAAAGAGAGAGAGAGAGAGGGAGAGAGAGACAAAGAGAGAGAGACAGAGAGAGGAGAGAGAGAGAGAGACAGAGAGAGAGAGAGAGAGAACAAAGAGAGAAAGAGAGAACAGAGAGAGAAGAGAGAAGAGAGAGAGAGAGAGAGAGAGAGAGAGAGAGAGAGAGAGGAGGTAGCGCTTTATATAATCGCTCACTGCATAATATATAAAGAAAGCAGAAATAACAGCGGGGATGTCTCCCTCAGCAGTGTGTTGCAGAGCCATGCTTTCTTAGAGGATGAAAGAAATGCCTTGGTTTGCACACACACACACACACACACACACACACACACACTATTGCTATTAATGACAGTTAAGATCAGTTGATGCTGATACGACCCATTCATGAGTGTGTTATTTCCCGTGTGTCTGATTGGACGAAAGTGAAGCCTCTGAGTGAGCTGGATATTTCTCACTGACATACCAACACACTGGATGTCCCATCACACTGTTATTTTACCCATTCAGTCCTTCAGTTTTCTAACATATACGTAAATATGGCCAAAATTTGACGATGTGTAACCTTTCTTGGGTAGATATGGATATGAGGCCAGTATCTTCAGTAAGGCAGCAGTTTAAATTCTGTCTGATATCTGATGATTGAAGTTTTACCTTTTGGCCACTAGTGGGCGCACTATGCTCAGAGTGCTGTAGACCAACCTGCTTAGTGATGAGAGAGCTTTGACCCCTTAACCCGGCAAACCAAAACATATGGATAAACTTTTTCTATTCCTTTAATTCTACCAAAAATAAAACTGTAAGCATCACCTTTGAGTTGTTCCTTTAACTCATCTGAATTAACAATGATGAAAAATAAAAAAATGACTCAATGTGAATACTTCTTAGTTCTAACTTTGAACTCATTTAGATCATTTAAAAACATTCACAAACACCTTATATCCAGGCGTCCCAGTTTGAACTTTTAGCTCCCTGACAGTAGGGAAACAAAATCAACTGATTTGTTCAATAAAAGCGAAAAAAACACATTTAAGCAATTAGCATCATGAAGTATATTTCATGAGTTCACAAAGGTTTCTGTCAGACTTTCAGAATGACTTACCCCTGATGTCTTTGACATATTTAGCTAATTGCAGATTCTTCTTTTTCTTTCTGTTCTTGGAAAGTGAACCCAACACTGCCTGCTTCAAATGTGACCTCCAAAGAATTGCAGCTTTATCTGCTTGAATCAACATTTTTCTTATTGTTGACAAGGTTTCACTGAATGTCATTCCCAGTATGTAATGATGCTGAGAACTTGTGTAATATTTGATTCTTCAGCTACAAACCTACAGTGTTGTGGTTGAACTCCCCCTCAATCTGGCAAAAGTAATGACGCAGGGTGGTAACATCAGCGCTACAGTAAGACTCGCTATGACATAGTCTGTAAAGATCAGGGATCCTACCTACGTATGAACCAACAGACAGACGGCTGTGAGAGACGGGCCTGACAACCTCTCACTTCCTCTGACTCACTCAGGCAAAAGTGTGTCAGTATGAGAAAGCGTGGATTCAGGTGTCTTAACCTGGACGATAAGACGTCTTTAATAAAAAAGGTCAGCTTTATGAAAAAGCGAAGGCAGGGTTAAAAGAAACCACATCACTTTCTCAGCTGACTGAGTCACACTCCCATCACTCCCATCACTCCCAGCAGTTCAAAGCCTCACACACTCAGAATGTGTTTTGCTGGAGGACAACATTAAACTAAGCATGCTTGAGCTTTGTTCGATTTGAAAGGTGAAAATACCACCTGGTAAAAAACTGCAGAGTTAGTATCACACCTCAACAAAACTTTGAAAGAAACAAGAAAAATGTTTCCTTAAAATTATCTCTAAAATAAATCAGCAGCTCAAATTTAAAACAAATACAGTAACTGGATTTTCAAATCATACAGGGGGAAACATTTTGGATATTGTCCGATAAGTCTTCAAAACAATCCCAGTTAAATGTACCCAGCATCCCATTTGAGAAAAAATGACTGCTGAGTAGCACCCAGCCACACTTAACACAAACCGCTAACTATCACCTAAAGGTCACTTAGTACCTCAGTAGACATCAGGAGAAAAAAAAAACTGCTCCTTGTGGTGTCTCTAAGATGCTCACATCATCTTTCTATCTCTTTGGAAACTTCTGATAAAGTTTAAATTATCCCACAAACTAAAGTTGTTTAAGGCAAATAATCAACCTAAGAATCCAGGACAGAAATTCCATCAATAATAAAAAAAAAAAAAAAAATGTAAAAAGGGTAATGAGAGGTCTCCAGTACAGACTGTGCTCCTTTTTGTTTTAGCTTGGACAACACATCTTAGTACATGAAAGGATGCACAAGGTTTGCACACACCAGTGCATCTTGTATGAACCGCTAAAAAGATGCATATTATTAAAAAAGTTACAAATTGGTAAGCACGTCAGCCACAGTGACTTCACTTCACATGCTTTCAAAAAGGAGAAAAACCCCAAAATCATGCATTCAGTATCCTCAGCAGTAGAGTAAGTAAAGTCCTTAAGAAACAAGAACTTAAACTGTGAATACGCAAAACTAAAACCACATGAAGTTGCATTTCCTAAATGTTAGACAAGTCACTAAAGTTTAGCGCACAAAGTCCAGACTAGACAAAAAGAATCCCACAGTTCAACAAACTTTCAGATCTCTCAAAGAATAAAGTTCACATTCAGCATCTGCAGCAGTAGAATATCTCAAGTCCTTCCATGACTGAACAACAAGAAACCCTGAATCTTTGACTTAAAAAAAGAAAAGAATCACAACATTTGGAATTGAAACAAAGATAAGACTGTCACAAAACTTTATCACTCAAAGTCCACACACAATGGAGACATCCATTTTCTAAAAAAGTCACAAAGTTTCAGAACGAAAAGCAAACCCATAAAAAACTGACCTTTCTCCAACCATTGAGCTTCCCCATTTCCTCTCCTTCTTGTCAAAGCAGCAGGCTCCCATGTTGCTGTGTGTGAGGAGTGCAGAGCAGAGAGAGAGAGGGCTTGCTGTCCGTTAAAAGTTTCTGTCTCGCTCTGACTACAGCATGAGTAAAAGGACCAAGCCTTGGCTCTCTGACGGCGGAAGCTCTAGTGACTCACTTCTGGCTGCAGGGTCTGACTAGGCTTTACCTCACACCCTGTGCATGTGGAGCAATGAGTGAGTGCGTGTTGTGTAAGAG